CAATGCTTGTTAAATCTTTTGATTCAGATACACCTGGGTCAATCATGTTCTGGTTATCCGATCCACTGTATTTCTGACTTTGATTTAATTTCAATTAATGATTAATAATTAAAAAATGAATAAATAAATTAGTTAATTAATAAAAAACTATACTAATTGAAGGCTTATCATTACAATTAAACAGCAAAAGTGCATGCTACATTTTACTTGAAACCAGATATGAATCTGACTGGCTAAATAAAATGTACAAATCAAATCTGTAAGAATGAACTACAATACTTCTTACATAATATTAATATCTGTCAAATAACATAAGGGGTTATTTGTTAAAGTTTCCTGACATTTTACAATTATATAAATTGAAGCATTAAATCTATAATTGTAATAATTACAATATGTAGTCAAGGACTCATGGTCAGCAAACCCAGACTTATTTTTGTTTATTGTGATTTTCAGCCGAGTCGTGATTGGATGGGAGCAGCAATCGCGTTATTTACAGCCAAGTTACATCTTCCGCATGAGACAACAAAACAGAATGTTCTCAAATCAGTGCTGTATCAGCTGGATCAAGCCCTCGAAGAGTGAGTCAGTCTTTTGTTTATTCCAAGAGAGGATAAATCCAAGGGCATATAAGTCATTATGATATAACACAACTTCAAAATAACGCAATCAACTTGTACACTGCCAGTAATGACCAAGTAATAATTTTCTGTCAGATTTATCACAGGTATCTACCAGAAAGTTTAATGTAGCTGTCCAACATTTACAATAGGCATCCAACTGTATATTTAGTATATTTAACGAAATTCACTATTTCATATAAAAACACTTTTCAAATTTGTGTCTTTCAGTAAAATTACACAGCGAAATGGAATGGTATTTGTCTTTGATATGACTGGATCTACATATTCTAATTTTGATTACGAGCTCAGCCAAAAAATACTAGATTTACTGAAAGGTGGATATCCTGCCCGGTTGAAAAAAGTCATTATCGTCACTGCGCCATTGTGGTTCCGTGCTCCTTTTAAAATACTTCGCCTCTTTGTAAGAGAAAAACTGAGAGACAGGGTAAGTGTTGTTTTTTTATTAATGCACTTCCTGTTGTTTGTGAGATGCCATGTTTTTCCAATGTACTTCACCGCTTAATTGTTCACAGTGCAGGAATATTTTGTGAACTTATTTATATGAACTATGGTTACACTGAAATAAACTAAACTGGTCATTTCCTGTCATTTATGCATTCTCATGCGATGACCTTTCACAATAGAATTCCCAGTATGCTGGCAAAATGGTGGCTAATTAATGGTTTGGTTTCTTGGTCTGATCTCTGCTCGCTTGCAATCAATACTTTTACTGAGCTTATAATTATTTTCCAGGAGAAAATAAATCAACACTTGTCATTTGTAGTCATACCTCTTGAACTACCTGGGGTTGGGGTCTGAACCGACTCCAAATCAAGGTTCTGTTGGGGTTCATGTACCGGTACAAACAATAAATGACCCGTAATGGTGAATGATATGTCACATTTGCGCTAGTTTTTCCCACTCAACATGGCAACCATCTTTGCGAAGCAATATCCTTTCAAACAGCCACTCAGATTCGCGAAAGCTTACAATTCTTTCAATGTATGACAATAATACTAATTATAAGTAGGTTGCTAAACAACAATGCATGAAATGAACAACTCTATCTTTATAATCAAAATTGAATTCAGCCTTTTCTTCTTCTAAATGGAAAAATTATGTTATCCACGTCGTCTTCGTTCACTTTAATTTGTCAGCATGTGTGCCACAACCCTTGTTAGTTTCTATGTACGAGTTTTTTAAGTCGAAAAAAAAATCAGTTTACAAAAGGCAGCAAAAGAAAAGTGTTCTCCAACTCAGCCCTCAAAAACCCACTCTTGTATCTAACGCTGCATTTGCAGTTACCCTTAGAATGCCAACGTTTTTTTTTTCCTCCATTCACAAGATGCTTGCGTATTCTTGCAAATTTTTGATAAAGCTCTGTAGGGATAGATCATTAGAAACTCGGGGTGAGCAGAAAAACAATGCAAATTGTTTTTTTTCCTCTACTTAGTTCTGTGATATTTTTTTTTTCAATGATGAATTCGCTATAGTTTTTAGCTCCGCTGTCGACTTTGTCGAGCGGAGCTTATCATATGAGTGATTGTCCGTCGTCGTCGTCCGTGTCAATGTTTTACTTTTTCGATTTCTTCTTGAAAACTACAAGCCTGAATGCTTTTATACTTGGTGTATATGTACCTTGGGTAGACCTCTCTTAGGTTTGTACATTTCATGTTGATATCTTCAATTTTCTAATTTTGGTGAATATTTTTGTCATTTTTGGTAAAAAGTGATATTTTCGACTTCTTGTTAAAAACCGCAAGTGCAATTGCTTTGATATTACATATATAGGTACTACATGTGGACCTCTCTCAGATTTGTTCATTTTGTAATGATATCTTTAATTCTCTAATTTTGGTGAATATTTTTGTCATTTTTGGTAAAAAGTGATATTTTCGACTTCTTGTTAAAAACCGCAAGTCCAATTGCTTTGATACTACATATATAGGTACTACATGTGGACCTCTCTCAGATTTGTTCATTTCG